TTGTGTGTATATTCTTGTGGGGTAGATTCAACTTACAAACTGAGTGATGTATAGTGATTAAATGTATAAAGTAAAATTAGAAAAACAAAATGTTGAGATTCTCATCCTCATCTATGTAATAAAGACAAATTTGAATGTATTAACATAGAGAAATAGGAACCAGCAGATGGTGTAATGGTTACACTATGGACACTCACATAGTCGATCGCAGTTTGAGTTCTAGACCTGGTGGCTTAAAACTCACGTGCCAGGCGCGTGTGCGTGCATGCCCCAAATCCCTAGAAGACAATGTATTGCAGCGTGGCCATCTCCCTTGGGGAGTGATTCCTTTCTTCTTTCTTTCTTTTTCTTTTTATTTTTTTAAAAACAAGCTCTGCTGGGAACCAGCAGTTAACGTAATGGCTATGTCGCTGGACTCCCACGTAGTCGACCACGGTTCGTGTACCGGACCTGGTGGCTTAAAACTCACGCCGGGCGCGTGTGCGTGCGTGCCCAAGATCCCGAGAGGAGAAGGGATTGCGGAGTGACCATCCCCCCTGGGGGTGATTTCTCGCTTTCTGTCTCTATGTCTCTCTCTGTCTGGCGAGCGCACACGCCCTACAGTGAAAATCTCTCAAAAACAAAACAAAACAAAACAAAAAACCAAGCTCTGCCAAGCTTTATTAAAGATAAATGGTGCATGATGTACTTTTATTTTTGGAGAGATTTTCACTGTAGGGCGCGTGCACTCGCCAGACAGACAGAGAGAGACAGAGAGACAGAAAGCGAGAAATCACCCCCCAGGGGGATGGTCACGCCGCAATCCCTTCTCCTCCATTCTCCTCTCGGGATCTTGGGCACGCACGCACACGCACCCGGCGTGAATTTTAAGCCACCGGGTCCGGGACACGAACCGCGGTCAACTACGTGGGAGTCCAGTGACACAGCCATTACGCTAACTGCTGGTTCCCCATGATGTACTTTTCACCAGTCGGTTCGGGCATACTTCTAATGATATCGGAATCACCTGGATCAATGATAGCCAGTGTGCATACTCTAGTATGTTCCACATGCTGTGCCTGATTCAATATTATTTCCACTGTAGTGATGGACACCAGTTTTGGCCAACGTGGCATAGTACTCTATTTCAGAATTCCTCAAAGTTGGGCAGTTGTTGGCGAGGGTGAACAACTTCACTTTGCCTTGTCTGATCATCTTCAGAGTCTGCTTGTACCCCAGGATGTACTTCCCACTTTTTATAAGAAGTTGGAGCCGAGTTGATCGACTCCATTGACTTTTGCGTCTTCTTTGTGGCCACCATCTTCCTGCCTTAGGTGCCCGCCAAGAAGGCCAGAAAGCAAGAAAGCCCCTGGGGAGTGACTTCTGGCATTCTGTATCTCTGGCAAGTGCACATGCCCTATAGCAAAAATCTCTTAAAAAATACACACATACACCCCTGGATCCAGACTCCCTTCTTCATTACTGCCTGTTTCCGTCCCTCATTCTGTATGTACCTGTCATTCTCGCCTCCTGTCCCTAGCTTTACTCATTTCCCTCCCTGGATTTCTGCTCATTCCGTGTACCTCTCCTTTCCTGGTATTTATCTTTCCTCTATTCCTTCACTTACACCTGTTCTGCCCTAGTTGTCTTTGCAATCTTTTTTTTTTTTTTAACTTACCAGAGTGTGTGTACACTTGCCAAGGTGAAAGGAGGAGGGAGGAACAAGGCACCTCCCTGTCCCCTGCTCATGGGTGATGGTTACGTTCCAATCCCTTCTATAGTTGTCTCTCCTATCAGAATTTTGGGCACGTACACACACACATATTTGCATGCACCAGGCAGGACTGGGACATGAACCAAGTTGTTGGCTGTGTGGGATCCCACCACCTTGACAACACAACATCTGTTGGCTTTCTCCTATCTTTTGATTGGTAACAATCGCCACATATTTTGTCTTTTTCTTACCCCATTTCTGCTCCCCTCTGTTCTGTTAATTCCCCTGTCCCTGTTAAGACACCCCTGTTCTTCCTTATCTTTGGACCTCCTAGACCTGTAGGCTTCCTGCTGTGGTCTTCCCTAGGTTGTTCTGTCATCAGCTCTCCTTCTTGCTCTCCCAGCACCATGTTGCCCTGTCTGCCCTGGCTTAAAATCATTATTCTCTTACACAACTCTTCACGGCCTCCCCGTTTGCTGCATATTTTTTTTTCTTAAAGAATTTTTTAAAAACTTTATTTAACTTGACCAGAGAGGGACAGAGTGAGCAAGTGTGTGAGGGAAGGTGAGAAAGCAAGCTGCCAGGTCTGGGACTCAAACTGCAGTTGGCCACGTGGGAGCCCAGCATCCTTAACCACCACATCACCTGTCAGCCCCTAGCGGTACAACTTTCTGGAGATGAGATTTTCCTCCTTTCTGCTATATTCTTGACTTTCTCCATTTATTTTTTCCAAAGCCCTCGTCTGACCTCTACCATCTCTTTATGGTTTTCTCTTTTGTGTCCCTCAGATTTTCCATTTCATCTTAGTTGCTCTTTTTTTTTGGAGAGGTCTTTGCTACAGGGAATGTGCACTCACCAGACTGAGACAGACAGAGTCAAAAAGCAAGAAATCACAGACACACACACACCCTGGGGGGGAATGGCCATGCAGCAATCCCTTCTCCATGGGATCTTGGGCGCGCGCGTGCACACACACACACACACACACACACGTCTGGTGTGAGTTTTAAGCCACTGGGTCCAGGACCTGAACTGCAATAGACTTCATGGGAGTCCAGCAACATAGCCATTACACCAACTGCTGGTCCCAGTTGCTCTCTCCCCTGATCACTTTGTGCACACATTCACGGGGGGGCGGGGGGAAGACAGAATGAGATGCTGCCTCAGGGAGAGCACAATTTCCAATGGGTGTCACAGGACACACCCAGGTCCTTTCCACCATGGTGGGGTCAGAAAAGTGGTGACTATAAAGGGGAGGCTCCCTTGATTCTAATCTGGAGCCACCTTCTATGAGATCCCTCAGGGATAGAAAACAGGGCCAAGGAATACCAGGGCATTTGATCTCCAGTTGGGAGGGGGATGTTATCAGACATGTCAAGTCTGAATAGGACATGACCTCCCTTCCTGGACTGAATGAGGAGTAAAGGTAATGGCAGCTGGCAGTAGTAGTCTTGGGACAGGGATAGGCAGGGCACCAACTCAGCCTAAGTCCTTTCAGACAGGCCAGGTGCTGTGGCCTACACAGGGAGACATTGCCAGCTGGACAAGGACCAACCATGGACGGGAAAGCACACACAAGCACGTAAGTAAAAGAAAGCAGGAATTAGGTGGTCCAGGCGTCTCTGATGGAGACCTGTGGCCTCGAGATGTTCCCAAGTTTCTTTCTTTTATAGGGCAATGGGAGAATAAGTGGAATATGAAGCCAGATTTTTGGTTATCAATTGAAGCTGTGGAACATCTTGATCCCTGGGTTCTAAACTTGCCCCCACTTCTCTTCCTGGCCTTCTCTGGCTGTTTCCCTTAACTTTCACAGTCCCACAGTGCTGAGTGGGACCTTGCCTCACAGCACAGGACCTTGTTGCTGCTTATATTAAAGGTCACCACTGTCAGCTTAGATTTGACATCTCCCTACAGACAGGAACACCTGACACTAAGAAATGGGGCCAGAATATTAACCTACCTATCTGCTTTTTTCCACAAATATAGTAGAGGTCTGGTTAGACCCCTACAAGCTGTGGCACCTCAGGTAACTTGACAAAGCACTGGAGGTGCCATCCTGAACCCTGCTGTCAGAGACCATAGACCCTCTCCTCCACCAGAGGTAATCTGTGTTAGCATTCCCACTCATGGTGTGTACCAAGAGATCTCAAGCCCTGGCTGACTGTGGATTTGGCTTCTGTTGCACAAGAGCCGTTTTAATTCAGAACTGACTTTGGCAAAATGTCAGGTCTGCAGCTAACAAAATCTTAGCGACCTAGTACTCAGGAAAAAACAAAGGTAGTGATATATTTAAAAGAATATTACAAAGAATGCAGATGAAAGATGTATGGGATAAGGTTACAAGGGAAAGTGATTGGAGTCCACGCCTTGAGTGTACCACTTGGACATGGTACACACGTTTGTGTGGGTTTTGCGGATGGCTACATGATGACAAAACAAGAACTATAATGGTTGTGGCTGTGTAGGGGCTTCATGAACGATATTGTAAGGGGGGCATGAGCTCCTGCATCTATGCCATAGATACGCCTGGATGGTGAATGCCAATGCTTCCATGAGTGTGTCACTCCGAGAAGACAAACCACTTTTGCTCTGCTCTCACCCCAAAACCATCAGCACAGGAGACTTTATGACCACTTGTGTGAGGACCTATCTCCAGGATCAACAAAGCAATAAATTCAATAGCACATGCCAGTTGGGTGTTTTCTAATGCGGTTTGATTCTGACACTCTGTGGAGAAAGCATCAGAGCCTACAGACTGAGGGCTTTGACTCAGAAAACTGTTTTATTTCTGATACCACTTATAAGCCCTAGATTGTTTTATCTGTCCTTCTGAGCAACTATAAACTAGAATGCCAAGATGCCCTCCATGGGTTCAATTAATATGCTAGAGCAGCTCACATAAGAGAAAAACAAAAGCAGTGATATATTTCAAAGGATATTACAAGAGATACAGATGAAGAGATGTATGGGATAAGGTTACACGGGAAGGTGACTGGAGTCCATCTTCCAGAAACCTCTACTTGATCAGCTGTCTGGAAAATCCCTAAACTCATTCCTTTTGGGTTGTAGGGAAGCAGAATGATTAATGAACCATGAGCATCTGGTGAATAATTTACCCTTCAGTTCTCTCCTCTCACTGGAGGTTGGGGGATGGAACTGAAATCTCCAACCCTCAAATCATACTTTGGTCTTGTGTTCACCAGTCCCTTTCTGAAGCTCTCTAGTGACCCCAAGGCACTAGTCATCTCAGTGGACAAAAGACAATCCAGAGCTCCCAAGAAACTTAGGGACTCTATATCAGGAAATGAATACAAAGACCAACTATATATTTCACAGCATCAGTCAGTGAACAGTAACATTGTGAATAAAGACCTTGTCACATTCCTTACTTTACGGTTTCTCTCCATTATGGATTACCTGGTGTCTGTTTAGGCTTGAAAGCACAGTAAATGTTTTACCACACTCATCACACTTGTAAGGTCTTTCTCTAGTATGAACTCTCTGATGCCTTTTAAGGAATGATTTGTAAACGAAGGCCTTGCCACACTCATTACACTCATAAGGCTTTTCTCCAGTATGAATGACCTGATGACTGATAAATGCTGGCCTCACATAAAAGGCTTTGCCACACTCATTACATTTGTATGGCTTCTCTCTAATATGAGTTCTTTGACGATGATAAGCAAGGAGTGCAGTCTGACTGAAGAATTTGCCACATTCATTACACTTGTAAGGCTTCTCTCCAGTATGAATTCTCCAATGTTTTTTAAGGGATGAGTTTCGACTGAAGACTTTTCCACATTCATTGCATTTGTAAGATTTTATTCCAGTATGGGTTACCCGATGCTGAGTAAGAGTTGAAGAATCATTAAAGGCTTTGCCACATTCATTACATTTGTAAGGTTTCTCTTCACTATGGATAACCTTATGTTTAGTAAGTGTTGACTTCAAAGTAAAGGCTTTTCCACACTCAGTACACTTGTAAGGTTTCTCTCCAGTATGAATTCTCTGATGTAGCTTAAGGTATAAACTGATACGGAAGACTCTGTCACATTCATTACATTTGTAAGGTCTCTCTACAGTATGAATTCTTTGATGTCTTGCAAGGTGTGAATTACGACCAAAAACCTTGTCACATTCATTACATTTGTAAGGTTTCTCTCCAGTATGAATTCTTTGATGCCTTGAAAGGATTGACTTGTGGTTGAAAACCTTATCACATTCATTACATTTGTACGGTTTCTCTTTAGTGTGAATTCTACAATGGTCTACAAGGTTTGATTTGTGAGGAAAGACCTTGCCACACTCATCACATTTGTAAGGTTTCTCTTTGGTATGAATTAGCTGATGCTTAGTAAGTGTTGACTTTAAGCTAAAGGCTTTGCCACACTCATTACACTTGTAAGGTTTCTCTCTAGTAAAATTTTTCTGATGTGCCAGGGATGAATTTTGACTGAAGACTTTACTGTGAGTTTTTTCTCTAGCATGGATTATCTGATGTTTAACCAAAGTTGAATGATTGCTAAAGGCTTTGCTACATTGATGACATGTGTAAAGTTTCTCTGTACTATGAATTCTTTGATGCCTTGTGAGATGTGAACTAAGACAGAAAATCTTGTCACATTCATTACATTTATATAGATTCTTTCTAGCATGAATTCTCCTATGAGCTACAAGTTTTGATTTTTGATTAAAGACTATGTCACATATATCACATTTATACTGTTTCTCTCTAGAATGGATTAGCTGATGTAGAGTGAGGTTTAAGTTATCATTAAAAGCTTTGCCACATTCAATACACTTGTGAGTTTTATCTCTAATATGTACTTTCTGTTGTTGTGTGAGTAATGAGGAATAGATGGAATCAGTCCCACCCTTATTAGAAATATGAGTTTTGACACTGCAAGGACTTCCTTGGGTTGGTGAAACTGAGGAACCATTGTTGACCGACTTTTCAGTCTGATTACCTTCACAAAATTTCCTTTCAGCTTGGAATAGGTGTAGCTCAGGCAGATGTGACTGAAAACTTAATCCAAGTTGATTTTCAACAGGATTCTTTCCTGTGCCCCTTTTATCCTGTTGGACTTTTCTACCATTAAGAGTTCCCTTTTTCATCACAGGCAGTCGATTATAATTATTTTCATCGTTTCTCCAGTGACATTCAGAGTCATGTGTATTTTTCTGGACTTCTCTGATGCAAACCTCTTCAATATCATGCCTTTTGTGTCCTTCCAATGTCACTGTATGGAATACTTCTCCTGTATTACCTTTTCCTTTTGGTACTAATTCTTCGATTAAACATTCAGGAGAGACATCTATAAGATAAAAACAATAATAGACTTTTTTTTTTTTAAGAATTATTTTATTTAACTTTATTTATTTAAATTTGAACAGAGGGACAGAGTAAGAGAGAGAGAAAGAGAGAGGGGGTGTGGGGGGAAGTAAGAAAGCAGGCCACCGAATCTAGGACTAGAAACGTAGTCGGCCATGTGGGATTCCAACACCCTTAACCACCATGCCACCTACTGATCCCAATAGATTTCTTTATTTTTAAAGGATTATTTAACTTTGTGACTAGCAGATGGCGTAATGGTTATGTCGTTGGACCATGGTTTAAGTCTCGGATCTGGTGGCTTAAAACTCATACTGTGCATGTGTGTGTATGCCCAAAATCCCAAGAGGAGATTGGAGGAGATGGGATCTCTCCCCTGCCCTGGAAAAGAATGATTTAACTTTATATATTTTTAGTTTATTTTTCATTTGACCAAAGAGAGACAGAGACAGAGAGTGAGAGAGAGGGAGAGAAAAGAAAAGCAATAAATTAAGCCACCAGGTCTGGGACCTGAACTGCAGTCAATCATGAAGGAATACAGGGCCCTAATCACCATGCCACCAGCTTGCCCTGTATAATAGATTTCTAATGAATTACAGACAGGAAACAAAATATTTCATATTGAAATACATATTACACAAAAAGTAATATTCATAATGAAAAATTTAAAACTCCTCAATTCATAATCTTCACTTTTTAGAACTATAAAATAGACTGCTTTAATAAAGGGCGATTACATGTAATTGAAATTAATCTGAGGACGACCTGTTTCAGTTAACCTATAGCCAAAACACTCACAAGGCACAAACATGTATTAGTCCTGGATTAAGAAATATTTTTCTCCCCTGAACACAAAGTATACAGCGTATTCAAACATATATCTGTCTTATATCTAAAGAGGAAAAATAGTATTATACACACACTATTTTTACTATGCACAAATAATGCTAATGCATGGTATGATATTATAATAGTAAATAATCCAAAATATAATGAATAACCTAAAATGGTAACTGAATTGGAGAAAGGTACAGAGAAACTAAGGATACAGTTACTTTAATGTTAAGAAATATGAGAGTCAGCAGGTAGCGTGGTGGTTAGGGCACTGGATTCCCACATGGCTGATCATAGTTTGAGTCTCAGACCTGACAGCTTCCTTTTTCACTTTCCCTCTCTCTCTTTCTCTGGTTAAATAAAATAATAATAATAATACATAAAATTAAACAAATAATCATTTAGGAAGCTGACTGGTAGCATATTGGCAAATTCTTTTTATTTTTCAGAGGGGTGATCCCTTCTCCTCTGTGGTGGTTAAGAGTTCTGGACTTTCACATAGCTGACCGTGGTTGGAGTCCTGGTCTTGGCAGCTTGCTTTTTTGCTTTCTCTCTCTCTCATAGCAAATCAATAAATCAATAAAGTTAAATAAAAATAATCCTTAAAAAAATTTTAGAATAAAAAATAAGAGTGACACTTAATAAAAAAAAAAAAAAAAAAGAAAAGAAATACGATATAGGCCAGCAGGTGGCATGCTGGTTAAGGTGCTGGATCCCATATGGCTGACAGTGCAGTTCAAGTCCTGGACACAGTGGCCTGAAAAACTTGGCACGTGTGTGTGTATGCTGCCAAAAATCCTAAGAGAATAGAGGAAAGGGATTGCAGCTTGGTCATCCTCCTGGAAGGCGATTTCTCACTTTCCCTTTTTCTTTGTCTCTCTCTAGCAAGTACATGCACCATATATTAAAAAAAAATAATTAAAAAAAATAAAGATATACAATATTTTTCTGAATACCTGTTATAAAACTAGCTATACACATAATTACCAGTCATTTGCGACATTAACAAGCAGTGCATGATTTACAGATGTAGTTTTTCAGTATGTATGATGCAATATAAACATTTAAGACAGCATCTACAAGATACAAAGGTTTCCGATTAATTAGAGTAAATATTCCACAATGAAATATGTATTATATAAAAGCAGTACTCATATTGACTTTAGGTATATTTCACCATGCATACTGAAAAACTGTCATGTGTAAATCATAATTAAAATTAATAAGAAATTGTACTAACCCATGACAAAACTGTAAGTGAATAATAATTAGCTATATTTATATAGTTGCCATCTGGAATTCTAAACAATCCTCTGTTAAGAAAAAGGCTGCCTTAGCCCCGATCTATATGGAAAGTGAACTGAGTATCAGATGGAATCCTATGAGAGCTAGCCCAACTTCACTGTGGGAAGAGAAGAGTTACTTCTCTGAGGAGTTCAGAGAAGCCAGATGAGGAGGGTTGTGCTTCATTATTGGATGTTGCCTTTGTCTCTGGTACAGCAACACCACTGAAGGGCAAGAGGATAAACAATGACATATTCAAAGACTAGAGTGTAAGTGGGAGAAATTTAACGTTCCTGTGAGAGCTCACAGGATGTAATTATTTCTTTTCCCATTCTCTCCCAGTTTCAGAGTGCTCCCCAAACACTATTTAAAGATGTATTTTCTTCTCTGGCCTTTTCAGCTCCTACCTGTGATCAGGCCTTTGATACATTTCCACCTTTTTGGTTTTCTTGCCTTTTTCACTTGTCTCTTCACAGTCCAGGGCTCTTTTCCTTGCTCCAACATGAAAATAATACTGAGGTCAGGAAGAGAGTTTCCTGCTTTTAAAAACAAAGATATATAATGTGCTGTGGCTTTTACAGAGAATCCCAGCAAGGTTTACCGGAGCACTAAGGACATCACAAATGAATCCAGAAAAATATTTAAAAAACGCACTCATTGAATGGCTCCTGAATGCTAAAGGAACTTTGTAATAAGCAGACATCTACTATGATCAATTAAGCACAGGGGTAGTAAATAAGAAATGTATTATTTTAAACTGCCAAAATGCTTTCCAGGCATTCCTAAGCTCTGGAACCACGATGGAGCAAAACAAATGACAGCGGTGGATAATTAAAGTTGGCTGCTACACTGTGAAGCTTTTCATTTCTGAGTCAACATTGTTAGTCTTAGTCAAGCCATGCAGCGGCTCCCAAGAGACTCACAAGGAAAAATGCAAAAACACACAAGGGCAGAGCCCAACTTTTGGGGACCTCACCCAGGGAGACCAAGTTCCTGTAGTTTTCCAGCATCACGTCCTTGTATAAAGCCTTCTGAGCAGGGTCCAGGCACTTCCACTCCATTTGAGAGAATTCTATGGCCACATCCCTGAATGTCAACTGTCCCTAAAATGAAAAACGCATTTCACTAAAGGGCTACAGAGATATAGATATTTTAAGAATTAAAAAAAATTTAGTTATATTCATCATCTTAATTTCCAAAAAAAATTTTTAAATTAATTTATTTATTTTAAAATTTGATCTGACAGAGAGGTAAAGTGAGAAACAAGTCACCAGGTCTGGGACTCAAACTGCGGACAGACACATGGGAGCCCAGCACCTTAACCTCCACACCATCTACCATCCCCTAGAAAGACCCTTATTTTCACATAAAGAGAGATGAGGGCAAGCCAGTGGTGTGGTGGTAAAGGCAGCTGGATCTCATAAGGCTGACTGCATGGGTCCAAGTCCTGGACCTGATAGCTAGAGAAACATGCCGAGTGTGAGTGTGTGTGTGTGTTGGGGGGGGAGGGGGGGAGGCTAAATTCCATGAAGATAATGGAGAAGGGATTGTCATGTGGCCATCTCTCTGAGGACCTCTCAATTTCCCTGTCTTCCTCTGGTAAGCACACATGCCCTATAGCAAAAATTAAAAGAAAAAAAAAAAGTGGAGAAAGTTCTAAGAATGAGTTTATTACACTGAAGTGGGCATACAACAGATCCACGATGGTATTTTTGGGCATGTTAAATCTCCTCAATTCTGTTTTACTATATTTTTCTGTAAGAGGTTATGACAGTGTCTAAGTCAGGGTGGATTTTTCATTGTGTGGACAACACAAGAAACATACAAAGTAAAAGTGAACACAAGGTCATCAGTGCACAAGTGTGAGATGTTCTGTTTGATACAGAAAGTGATACTCAGAATACAGCTGAGCAAGAGCGTGAGTGGTGTGTTTAGAGATGATTAATGTCCAGAGTGGCTTTAACATCACAATCTGAGAACTGTAATGGTGACAGGAATAACAATGAGCAAAATACTGAACATCCTCCACACACTCAGTACTGAATGTTCTACATGACTTACATGTACTCACTCATAACAACGTAACAGCCCAAGAGACAATGACCTACTCCCATCCTACTGACATCTAAAAAAAATCACATCAGGTAAAAGAACTAGAAATGGCAGCACAATCACCTGAACCCACTTGTCTGGGAATTAAAATTGATCCTAAAAACAAAGTAGTTAAGTACCAGATATAGCACCAAGAACTGACAGATTAACATCTAATGGAGAAACATGAAACAAGTTCAAGAATAACATGGAACTACATAAAAGGTAACTATAAACACACACAGCATACATACGATATGTTGCTACTCTTTTTCTTATTTAATTATTATTATTATTTTAATTTGACTAGAGAGACAGAGGAAGAGAGAAAGGGAAAGTGAGAAGCAAGCTGCCAGGTCCAGGACCTGAACCCTGGTCAGTCATGTGGGAGTCTAGCACCTTAACCACCACGTCATCTGTTAGCTCCATTACTATTCTTTATTTAATTTTATTTATTATTATTATTTTTAAATTTAGTGACAGAAAGAGAGAGAAAAAGGGAAAGTGAGAAAGCAAGCTATTAGGTCTAGGACTCAAACTGTGGTTGGCCATGTGGGAGTCCAGCATCTTAACCACCATGCCACTTGCAGGCTCCCTGTTGCTATTTTTAATATTAAGACATTAATGTGATAGTACAGAACAAATGTAAGATCCTGGAAAGTAATTAACATGTTAATTTGAGAAGTTGTTAAAATATACATCTTATTGGGGCCAGCAGATGGCATAGTGGTTATGTTGCAGGACTCCCACGTGGCTGAATGCACTTCAAGTCCTGGACCCAGTGGCTTGAAAATCACACCAGACATGTAAGCCTGAGTGCCCAAGATTCCAGGAGGGGACTAAGCAATTTATCTATCTATCTATCTATCTATCTATCTATCTATCTATCATCTATCTCTCTACCAGTTTTGGTCTGTCTATCTATGGGTTTTTGCTATAGGTTGCTTGTGCTCATCAGAGAGAGAGAAAAAAAGACAGAGAGAGGGAAAGTGAAAAATCACCCCCAAGAGGGTGGTCACACCTCAATCTCTTCTCTTCCATTCTCCTCTTGGGACGTCAGGCACAGGTACACACGTGCCAAGTCACTGGGCCTGGCACTGAAACTGCAGTTGGCCATGTGAGAGCCCTATGCCTTCACCACCATGCCATATGTTGATGCTATAGAAATTTATTTATTTTTAAAAAAGTTTTGTAAGACAGATTTTTGCTGTAGAGCATGTATGATTGCCAGAGACAGAGACAAAAAGTGAGAAATCATCCCCAAGGGGTAAGGGAGAAATCACCCCCAAGGAGGATGATGGCCACACCGCAATCCCTTCTCCATTATCCTCTCAGGATTTTGTGCACTCATGCACATGTGCCCAGTGTGAGTTTTAAGCCACTGGGTCCAGGACTTGAACCACAGTCAACTATGTGGGAGTACAGTGACATAACCATTACGCCATCTGTTGGTCCCACTATTTATTTTAAATGATAAAATATCTTTGATATTTTATTTTATTTTGATAAAAAAAATCATGGCCTTACGCATCTATGTGCTCACGTAAACATATCACATACACACATACTTAAATCAACTGAAATAAGGAGTTCTCTTATAACATATTTTTAAGATGCTTTTTTCATTATCTTTTTTTTTTTTTTTGGTTAATATGCAGTTTAACATGTTTGGGACACTGCAAATGTCTAAATTCTATTTATCTCTAAACGTTACTGTATACTAAGTTATTAAAAGAATGATACAGGGACCAGCAGTTAGTGTAATGGCTATGTTGCTGGACTCCCATGTAGTTGACCATAGTTCGAGTCCAGGACCTGGTGGCTTAAACTCATGCTGGGCATGAGTGCGTGGGTGCCCAAGATCCTGAGAGGAGAACGGAAGAGAAGAGACTGCAGTGTGGCCATCCCTGCAGAGGGTGATTTCTTGCTTTCGGGGCCAGCAGATGGCATGGAGGTTAAGGGTGCTGGACTCCCATATGGCTGACCACAGGTTGAAACCTGGACCTGGCGGCTTGCTTTCTCACTTGCTCTCTTTCTCACTCTGTCCCTCTCTGGTCAAATTAAAATAAATAAAGTTAAATAAAATAATTGAAAAAAAAAAAAGAACGATAAAATGTGAATGAAACACAGGAACCTGAATTCTAAACTATATTAAATACTCATACTAAAAACTACAGGTGCAAAATTTTTTGGAGGTTTTTGCCTTAGGGCACATGTGCTCACCAGAGAGATAGTCAGTGAGAAATCATCCACCCACCCCCCAGAGGATGGCCACACTGCACTCTCTTCTCCTCCTGGGATCTGGGGCACACAGGTACACACAGCCAGAGTGATTTTTGAGCCATTAAATCCAGGATTCCAACCACAGTTGGCTGTATGCGAGTCTAGCGACGTAACTGCTATGCCATCTTCCGGCCCCAACATAGATATAAATTTATTCTTTTTTTTAATTTTTAAATTTTTTGAGAGAGAGACAGAGAGAGAGAGAGAGAGAGAGATTTTTGCTATAAGTCATGTGTGTTCACCATAGAGACAGAGACAGAAAGTGAGAAATCACACCCTAGAAGGGATGGCCATGCCGTAATCAATTCTCCTCCATTCTCTTCTCAGTATTTTGAGCATGCCCACACACGCCAAGTGTGAGTTTTAAGACTCTGGGTCTGGTACTTGAATCGTGGTTGACTATGTGGGAGTACAGTGATGTAACCATTACAACATCTGCTGGTCCCAATCCATTTAAATTTAAATATTTAAGCATTCACAAAAGTCCAATAAAATTTATTATATTCCACTAACAAAACTACAATATATCTTAGGAAACTTATCAGTATTACACTCATACATCACATAACAAGTTTTGGTCAATGACAGCACATATGAATGTGCTAAGATTAAAATACAACTGAACAAAGTCCATTGTCTAGTGACAGCCTCACCATCTAATATCACAAGCAAACCATTATTTGTGTGTCTGTGGTGAAGCTGGTGTAAACAAACCTATGGAGCTGCCACTTGTACAGAAGTACTGCACATACACTTGTGCACAGTACAGAATACTTGATCATAAACATGTTCCTGGGAAATATATTTACTATATTCTATTTTTTACTGTTATTTTAGAGTTACTACTATTTATTTTAGAAAAATTATACTGTCAGAACCAGCAGATGGCATAATGATTACATCACTGGACTCGCACGTAATTGACTGCAGTTTGATTCTGGACCCGGTGGCTTAAAACTCACACTGAATGGAGAAGGGATTGCGGCATGGCCATTCCCCCTGGGGGATGATTTCTCGCTTTCTGTCTCTGTCTCTCCGATGAGTGCAAGTAGCCTGTAGCAAAAATCTCTCTCTCAAAAGAAAAAACCAAATTACACTGTAAAACAGGATGCCAGATCCAGCAGGTGGAGTGGTGGTAAAGGTGCTGGACTCCCACATGGCTGACAGTTTTGAGTGCTGGGCCCAGTGGCTTGAAAGTCATGCAGGGCGTGCGTGCATGCATGCCCAAATTCCCAGGAGGAGAATGGAGAAGGGACTGGGGCACTCCCATCTCTCCTGGGGGGCTGATTTCTCACTTTCCCTCTCACCGTCTCTGTCTCTCTCTCCGTGAGTGCACATGCCCTATCGCAAAAACAAAACCGAAACACACACACACACACACACACACAACACACACACACACACACAAAACACAAAAATAGGAAACTGTGTTCGGCCAGCTTACTGTGTCTCTCATTTGCATCAGTTTTTATTGTACTTGATTTTTTAAGAGAGATTTTTGCTATGAGGCATGTGCACTTGCTGGGGAGACAGACAGAAAGTGAGAAATCACCCCCCAGGGGAGATGGCCATGCCACAATCCCTTCTCCAGTCTCTTCTTGGGATTTTGGGCACACATATATGTGCCTGGTGTGTGTTTTTAAGCCGCTGGGCCTAAGATTCCAACTATGATTGACTACAGGGAAGTCCAGTGATGTAACCATTTATGCCATCTGCTGGTCCCTCTTGT